TATATATATAAAAGATTTCTTCTCAGTGTCATTTTCAATCAAGTTGTAATTTTGGCAAATAAGGAAAATTAATTATCTCAGATAAAATTGTCTTAAAATCTTTAGAATGCCATACCTTTCTCACCTTTCAACCAAAAAAAAAAAAAAATCTCTATATATATACATTTTATTTATTTTTTGTATTTTTTTAACAATACATCATTTGAGATGTGCTGGGAATGCTCATTAATTTCAGAAAAACATGACAATGCTTGATGCATATCAACTGCTAGACATGTTAACAGTATGGTGAGGGTGTAAAAAGTATGTTCTGGAAGTGCATTTTTAATAAAGTTCACAAGGGTCCATATTTCACACATAGCTAGATGCAGAAATAGCCTAACTGCAAACATTGTCAGGGTAACAACAAAATAACAAATGCTTTATGAATTCATAACATGAACTGTAGTAACAATGATATGTAGCCTATTTCAAAGAAATAAACGTACTCTGGTAATACTATCTCAGCTCGGGATGTAACCGCTTTAACCCATGCATGTAGCCTCGTTTAAACGGCGTGGGTGTGCTTGGCACAAATAACTGTGTTGTTCTTCAGTCGATCCGCCTCTCTCAGGCGTCACAGCACTCCGCACCTTCACGTGCTCAACACTGGGTGCACGCAGTTACTGCTGGCAGAACCGAAGAGTCCGCTGGAGCGCATCTCTCTCGCGGCGGGTTCAGAAGCTTTGAGGGTGAGTTCGTATTTTAATAAAGTTAATTAAAACGCTGAATGTAAATTAGAAACAGACAGTGTAAAAACTTGCCAATTAGGCGGAGACAGTTAAATACAGTAACAGAAGTAATCCTTATCGTTTCACAATGTTGTCACTGCATTATTTACCTATATATTAAAGGCAAAGCAACACTAGTATTTTTTTGTACCTTTTCTCACTGTATTACTACTTTAATAGCCCTCTCTTTAAATCAACAACACCAGCCTAATCTAAATCCGTTACTGTTATCATTTATTGCATTATTCCTTTTTAATGCAGCAGTGATTCGACTTTACTTTTTCTACTTGCATGCATATAGGTAAAACTCTAAGCTTGCTGATAAATTATTGGGTCATTTTAAAAGTCTCATACTCACACATACAGGGGATTATATATATACTACCCACTTTATTATCTGTATAAATAGCACAAGTAATTCTCTTTCTTATGCACGGCCGTACTCGATGCATAAATAATTTACTTGTTTCAAATTGCAAATGCACTGTATTTCTGTTTCACCTATTTTCTTGTTCAAAATCATGTCATTATCAACATTCAGGCCAATATTAAGACTTTACCTAGAGTTTTTAATGTTGTACAGAACCTCTAGGCTTTTACTGGTTATAGTGGTTCTTGTTGCATATCGGTAACATCCTTCTTAGAGCTTCATCTGCAGTATTTCATTGCTGGTCAGCTTAACAATTTTCACCTCCAGGGAGATGCAGCAGTGGTGGTATCAGTTAAACTGCATAGCAGACAGTTAGTTGAAAACTGTCTATCCACATTTACACATTTGACTGGTGCTTTTATCCATAGAGAATTAGTGCATTTTATCAGTTTTTTTATTTTCATTCTAGTATTTGAACCCTTGACCTTGGCAAATTGCCAGTCGAGCTACAAGAACTAACTTTAGGAAGAGCATTATTTACACTTAGTACACATTTTTGCTGATTGCATAGCTATATTAACATGACTTTCAGAGGTGGTTTGAACCAAAATGCATCTGCTTGTTCAAGCCACATATGTAAATTTTACTCTTCCCAAAATGCAACTGTCAGTATTGCCATTCCTGTGATGAGAGTAGTCCGGAGGAATCCCTCTTCAGCAAGCAGACATCTGTTGTCTTTTTTTTTTGGGCTCCTGTTTTTAATTTTCATTAGCCACATCAAGTGCACCAAAATTTTTAGCCCCACATTATCACTACCAGAAGTGAACAGAGTATAGAAGTCCAGTCTGTTCTATGACCATTTACTTGGTGTTATTAATCATTGAAACTATTTTTTAGCCTCACCCCTGAACTCTTGTCTCTTTACCTTCAGGTAGAGCAAGATGACAGGTCCTCCATCTTTCTTGTTCAGTCTGACTGCATTGGCTGTGGTTGTATCTTTGGTCTATAGTGGTGCTTCCATCACAAACAATGAGGATGACTGCCTTTTGACACGGATAGAGATCCCAGTGATCCTGGACCAAAGCACAGCGAGGCTTCAAAGCCCAGAATTCACTGCAGAAGACTTCAGTGAGCCAGGAGTGATGTGTGGGATTGAGTGCCAAAGAAAGCTGCCAGAAGCGAGGCCTGCGGAGCTGGAACGACTACTGTCTTATGAAACCGTCTACGAGAACGGAACACGCACCTTCACCAAAATACAACTAGAAGAGGTCGCTGAATTAAGAAACGCATCCTCTTCTGTCGTCTGCAATGCAGGACACCTTAAACGCAGAAAACGTCAGGTATACGGCATGGATGGACGCTTCGTGATCACAGATACACACTTCATCACTAATTACCCCTTTTCTGCCTCAGTCAGGCTCTCTACGGGTTGCTCAGGCATGTTAGTTTCTCCAAAACACGTACTGACTTCTGCCCACTGTGTCCATGATGGCCAAGTCTATCTGAAAGGGACCAAGAGGCTGCGAGTGGGTGTCATGAAGCTTCGCTCCAAACGCAGAGGAGGACGCCAACGAGGAGGCAAGAGGAGAGGAGGAAAGAGAAGAGAAAGCGAAGCGGGAAATGAAGAAGATGTAGCCACTGAAGGAGAACTACTTCATAGAGAACACAGGAGGAAAAGGAAGAACCGTATTAGACATGACACAGGTTCAGATCAGTCCAGGCAACCGGTGTTCAGGTGGACACGCGTCAAACTAACACAAGTGCCAGCAGGCTGGATGAGGAGAGCAGGCGAGGAGATCTCGGCTGACTATGATTATGCCCTTCTGGAGCTGAAACGACCCCATAAGATGAAGTTCATGGAGTTAGGCATTGTTCCTGTAGTCAAGGACATCCCAGCTGGAAGAATCCACTTCTCTGGTTTTGATGATGACCAATCAGGGAAAGTGGTCTACCGCTTCTGTTCGGTCTTAGAGGAGTCCAAGGACCTCATGTACCAGTACTGTGATGCACAGAAGGGGTCAAGCGGAGCCGGGGTGTACGTAAGGCTACGAGATCAGGGAGGAAAAGGGAAGTGGAAGAGGACGGTAATTGGCGTGTTCTCTGGACACCAGTGGGTGGATGTTGATGGGATGCAGAAGGACTATAATGTGGCAGTCAGAATAACACCCGCCAAGTACGCCCAAATATGCCACTGGATCCATGGAGATGCTAGTCGATGTAAACTGGCCTAAAGAAGGTCAATGAGTCCTCAAGACTGCTGGGACGGTCTAGACGCAAACTGCTCATGTTTGTGTCCCAACTGAAAATCCACAGCATCTGTACAGAAAATGCAGTTTTAACAAGATGAATTTGGATGCTGTATATTTATTTTTGTTTTCATTGCCAAAATTTGAGACTGTAGCCTTTTTGTAATGTCATGTTCAGGTCATGTTCGTGTTAAAAAGCCAAATGTCACCAGCTGAGGCCAAGTAGTTAACTACTCAAAAACAAAACAGCTTGACATTCAGTATTTTTGTTTAAGTTCTTGAGGAGTTCACCCGAATATGAAAAATATCACCAGCTGCATGAAGAGCCCGTTTTCCATACAAGAAAAGTACATGGTGATTCATACTACCGCTGAAAAGAAATGAGAGGCTTATTTGCTTACAATAAGAATAAGGTGCACAAGCAATATGGACTATTACGCTTTTTGAAGCCTGGCAGTATAAATCACTATGTAGTAGCTTAGACATTCAAGGGGTGATTGTTGGGTCTAACAACATTTGTATTTATTTAATATTGAATGCATTTGCCTAGTAAAATCAACGGAGTTAAAATATAAAATTACAAAAGTACTTAAATTTTTAGTACATATAGGAGTTCGACTCTTTGTATAATACCAAGTTTTCTTTTTTTTATATTTTCTTTCACAAAACACCAGAAACAAGATTTCTACACCATTCTGGTTTATTGTCTTTGAAATGACAGAAAAAGGAACATCTGTTACATTACACATGACCAACAGCCATGCTAATAGCAAAACATAAGTAACGCAAACAAAGTGCACATTCTACACTAACAGCTCATCCGATGGATCCAAATATAAATACAAAAGCTGAGCGGAGCGACACCAGAACCGGCCAATTAAAGATTTGATGCAGCTGGACTTTATCCCTCCAGAGATCCTGATTGGACAGCATCCTGGTAGGAGGGCCCGCCCTCTTTCTGGTCAGGGAAGAGCTTGATAAGGTCATCGATTCGAAGGATGGTGATGGCTGCCTCTGTGGCGAACTTCAGACTCTTGGTTTTAACCATCGTGGGTTCATACACTCCCGCCTGCTTGTTGTCTCTTGGCTTTCCATTCACCAGGTCCAACCCGATCCTAACAGCACGCACACAAAAACAGGTTTAAACAGAGTAATCCAAACTGCATTGGCTCTCAGCTTAATCCATAATAGGCCACATTGCTTCCAGATTGTCTGCACAAATCCCATTCATCTACCAATCAATTCTAAGGACATTTTAGGGAAGTAAATCAAAACCTTACTTCTTAAACACCAGAGCTTTTACTCCTGATTGTATGTTTGTCTGCGGTCTGTCAGTGCAGTCATATTTCTAAGAGCTGAACAGCTTCCCTGTGTGATGAGAAGAGAGCAACACTAACCATTTGAGGTTCTTGCGTTCAGGGTTGACCTGAGCCTCATTGTGGAAGGCTCTGAGTTTGGCCACCAGGTCAGTGGAGTCTTGTGCGGCGTTGACTGCCAGAGTTTTAGGAATGACGAGCAGAGAGCGAGCAAACTCCGCAATAGCCAGCTGCTCACGGGAACCCTAGGTCAAACACACAACCGTTTTAATAGTTCATTCATACACACTAATTATTAAAAAGCACAACTGCTGTATATTAAAGAGTTGATCAGTGCCCACAACATTTTTCCATTTATTCCCCATTCATTTTCTCAGTATGAAATTCAGTAAGAGCTAAGAACCAAACTAAGCAGATCTAAAAAACACAAAACTTTGTAAAATACAATATAAAATGTGTTACGTTATAGGGCTGTCAATTTTTTTTTGGAATTTTGAATATTCGTCAAATTTAAACAAAATCCACATTCGAATGCCAAAACGTTGCATTCAAATTTTAGGTGTGCATCAGGCAGCCTTATCAGTGGTGCACGAGATGCGATGACGATGTAAATGTTTTTCATAGCCTATCCCACATATCCCAGCCTATAGTTGAACCCACTGGATGCGGGTGTGGATCGCTGCGGTGTTGTTCATTCAAAATATTGCGGAAAAAGAGAACCTCCATGCGGAGATGATGTTGTTTACATCAAAACCAAGCCGTTCACACAGAACACATATATATCACATTTTCTAGAGGGACATCTATCACCATTGCACTCGCATCTCGCACAAGAGAGCTGCATGTTTAGAAAGCCATGTAAAATTAATGCAAGATCAACTTTTAAAAAAACATGTCTACAGACTTTATGCCAGTTTTTCCCCATCCTACGGCAGCTCAAGTTTTTAAATGAAAGTATTTCTTGTGATTGGTTTTCTGTCCTTGGTATTAAACTATTCATACATACATGATGCTGTTTTGTTTCTAATTGATTAAGCAACTTAATTATATATGGTTTACAAACATTAATTTAAACATTATGCACTTTTTCAAAGATAGTCGCGTTATTTTATTGCTTTGAAGAAACGTGCATTAGTAATACTTTGTTCGATGCGCCCTCTTGTGGTCTCAGGAGAGAAGCCAAAAGCTCCCCCCCCCCCAACTGAAAGGATG